AATGAATGTAAAGCTGATATTCTCCCATGTAGACTATCAAACAATTCACAATAAAACATTAAAAACAACAAAAAAAAAAAAAAAAAAAAAAGATTTACAGCCTCCGAAACCCTATAGCACCTCCAGAGAAAGAAGAGGTTTTCTGCTACCATAAAGATTTATAGCCTCTGAAACCCTATACAGGGTTACTAAGAGTCAGAACAGACCACCCACCAAGGTTAAAATAAGGAGTAATGGAATTGACCGAAAAGTCTAGCATGGGTGTGCAGTAGGCGCATGGTAAATAATGACCTTCAGCACACTTCTATCCGTTTATAAAAGAACTCCTGTCTAGAGTCCTGGTGTGGTGCTGTAGGATCAGCATTGGAGTGCGAGCCACAATGTTGGTAGTTCACACCTACCAGCTGCTCCTTGGAAACCCTATATAGGGTCACTATGGTGTCCTACTGTGGTGCTTCAGGATAAGCACTAGACCATAAGGTTGGTTGAACTGCAAGGCCGGTGGTGGTTCAAACCCACTAGCTGCCTCAAGGTTACTATGAATCAAAACCGACTCGACGGCACTTAACAACTTAACAACAACAGAACTCTGGTGTGGCGCTGTAGAATAAGCAATGGACTACTAACTGCAAGGTCTGTAGTTCAAACCCACCAATGATGTTCAAAAGTCCTATACAGGGTTGCTGTGAGTCGGAACCCACTTGAAGACATACAGCATTCTCTCACTAAGCACCCTGAGGTGGGGGTGGTGAATTATTTAACTAACTGAAAGGTCTGTTAATTAAAAGGTTGATGGTTTGAAACTACCAGTCACTTCAGAGAGCAAAAGATGTGACAATCTGCTTCTGTAAGGATTATAGCCTTGGAAACCCTATGAGACAGTTTTACTTTAGCCTAAAGGGTCCCTATGAGTCCGAATAGAGTACATGGTAACAGGTTTTGTTCCTTGTATTTTTTCAAAAATTGTGAAGCTAGTGAAAGTAAGATCATCAGCTTTACTTTCAACCAATCATATATATTTTTTTCATCTCAATGATCACACTCCCTGTAACAACAGTTCTCCTGCTTCCACCCTGTGGCTTCCTTTTTCCATGTTATTTTCCACAAATAAAGCAAAAATATTTGATGTATACATACAAAACAGAAAATATATATTCATTTAAATGTCCAAAGGGCATACTTTGCAAGCCAGCCTCCTGCCTGCAGGCACACAGCCTTTCTCAGTCCATGGGTCTAGAGTCCTCAGCTGCTCTCTATACTTACTGATCATCATCTCTACTGTTGCCACTTTCCTGGGTAGGACCTCATGCTCCACTCATGCTCTTTTCTCTTGATGGTCCTAGGGTCCTCTGCTCCTGAAATGAAAGATTAACTACTCCCCTCTTCTTCTGCAATTATAGTTGTGACAATCTCAATTAATCCTGATAACAATTACTCACAAATAAATCATAAAATCCTATCACCATCATTCCCCATCCCCTTTCACCAGATCTATATGGAAAAGAGGAAAACCATTCAGTGTTTTTTTTAAATTTTTATTTATTTTTATACCCACCTCATTCTAAAACTAAGAACACTCATGAAAGTTTGTAAGCCAGCCACTGTGTGCCTTTACAGGCTCCCCGCCACCCCATTTTTTATAGCCAATGTCTAAATTGCCCATCTCTGTCGACCCAGTGCACTGAATAAATGAGCTTGATCCTTAATATGAAGAATCCTTCTATTTCAGTGGCAGCTGCATCCAGAAGAAAAGGTCCAGTTCATCAAATTGTAGCAATTTACGTTTGCTTCCAGTATCAAACTTCTGTATCTTCATCTTGTCAAGTTCTGCTAAGCTAGCCATCCAAGATAGGTCAAATGAGTACTATCTACAAGTTTGGGAGTTCTCACACACCTTCCCCCACTTCAGATCCGCTGGCTGCTTCTCTCAGCTCTAGCTCCTAGTGGTTAGGTCAGTGTGCATGGGTTCAGGTGTTCATTGTTGTTGTTGTAAAGTGCTGTTGAGTTAATTCCGACCCATAGCCACCCTGTAAGGGTTTCCGAGGAGCAGCTGGTGAGCTTGAACCACCAACTTTGCAGTTCAAACGGCTTTGCAGTAAGATGCATTAACCCAGAGTGCCACGGTGTTCAACATCTCCCTAAACTTCAGGCCAACCAGCCATTTCTCGCCTCTCTCTTATCTCAAGGTCAACAGGTGTCAGTGGAACATGGCCATGTATTCATTGCTGCATTTCCCTCCACTTCACTCACAAGTAGACCAGCGTGGTCACCAATGTGCATACTAGGTTCCCTTTGAGTATTAGTCTGAGAAGGGGTTTTCCCCTGATAGGTGGCGTTTTCTTGTCTTGGTGGCTCCAAGGCAAACCAACTTGTTTGATATTCTAATAGTCAACCAATCTGCTTTTAATTTCTTCTGGTCTTTCTTTCAAAACGTATCTCCAGTTCTTGTAGCAGTTCTGGGTTGGTGTGATTTCTTTTCTCTGGAAATGTTCCACGTCAGAAGGTGCTGGGTGGGGCTCAGGATTTCACCTTGTTGTTGTTGTTAAGTACTGTGGCATCCGTTCTGACTCATAGTGACCCTTCACAGGGTTTCCAAGGCTACAAATCTTTACGGGAGCAGAAAGCCTCATCTTTCTCCCGCGGAACAGCTGGCAGTTTCGAACTGCTTACTTTGTGGTTCACAGCCTGATTCGTAACCACTATACTACCAGAGCTCCTTCAGGATTTCACCTAAGGCCCCATATTCTACAAAGGCTACAAGAAGCCTATTTCCCTGGACAAATTCGAATTCACCTTTTAGCTAATCAAATCATTTATAGGCTTAGGTTGGGTTTACAAGCTTTCTGTAATCATAATTCCCAATATTCACTTCAATGTCTATATTACAGTAGTCCTTGGGCCTGTTTTTAGAACACGCTTTGTTGATACTGACGAGTTTGGGCACATAGTAGCACTACTTTGTTGACTAATCAGTGCTCTCAGAAAGGGACACCATTAGAGGATAAAGTTTACCTCTTCTTTCGGTTTCAGGAAGACGGCTTAAGGAATGGATTGATTTATGGTTCCAACATGGCGCCGTCCATTTCCTTGTATGGATCTTAAAGATGGCGACAACCATTGGGGGCAGACATGTTTGGACTACGTAAGCTCAGACCCAGGGGCAGAGAGGCCGGAAGGTGACGCAAGGTTGAGGCGGGGTCCCGCCTCCCCTCTCCTTGGGCGTAAAATGTCTCGTGACAGGTACTTCCGCTCCGGGTGGCGGCGGTGGCGGAAGTGTGAGCGGGGACTGAGTCTTGGCCATAAAGCCTGAGGCGGCAGCAGCGGCGGTATTGGAAGCTTATAAAGCGCGAAGAAGTCCGCTGGAAGTGGAACTTGGACTTCTCTGCCCTTGTCTTTCTTTGCTTCTTCTCGGCGGGAGCTCTCGCGACACACCCGGCCCGGAGCCCCCAGCGGAGCGGCCGCGGTAAGCAGTGGGCCCAGCCCGGCCAGTGGCCTGGTCCCATCCCCCTCTTCAGTCCCACGGTACCCGGGGCCTCGCGTCGTTCCTGTCCTGGTGAAGGCTGCCGCCCAGCCCAGCCCTCACGGGGATACTTCGCGACGTTCAGCGCCCGAAGCAGGCCCTGACCGCGCCCGGCCTCGAAGAGGTCAGAGGTTGCCGGGTGTGACCTCTGGCTGGGTTTCTGGCGTTGGGACTGCTGCCATAGACGCTTTGTTTACGGATGGTGTCAAGACCCGAGACCCGCTGGGCTTGGGAGGTGGAGGGAGGGTGCTCTGCGTTCGCGGCGGGATGCGCTAAGCCAATTTAGTTTCGTGCGGCGGCGAGTTGAAGGGTGTCGGAGCCTACCCCTCCAGCAGCCTTGTGGAGGGGACCTTGGCCCAGGCGCCGTGGATCGGGCAGGCCTAGTGAGGAGCCGCTTTGGCATCTCAATCTTCAGTTTAACTGCCCGATCTGGTAGTGGGGGAGGTTCCCCCTTGACAATTGAGTTAAGGCTATGAGTCAGGTCACGTGCTCTGGGAGCCTCAAAAGATTTGTGAGACGCCTTTGGCGCTGGGAGATTTTTGTCATAAGCCTGTTATAAGTGCTGAAAGAAGTTTTCAGACGTATTGGGGGAAAGCTGATGAATGGCTGTGAAGTTATGTTTGTTTAATTCATACTTGACTTGACACGTAATGATACATAATGGTTACTAAAAGTGGAAACATTGAGGATAGTAAGAAGAAACATTTGCGCGTTTACTATATGCTTGCTGGGCGTCAAGATCTTTACATAGATTATTATGTTTCATTTTCAGAACAACTCTCTGAAGTACCATTATTGTGCCCATTTATAGATACAGAAATTGAAGAAGAAAGAGGTTAAGTTATTTGTTCAAGGTCACGCAGCTAATAAATTATGGAGTTGAGAGATTGAAACTCAGACACTAAGACTCCGGAGCACTGAACTCTGTTTCTAGGTTGTACTGCTTTCAAGTGCTCCTGAAGTTTGTGATTTCTCTCTTGCTACCTGGTACCTGGCTTACACTGTCTCTTTTCTAGGGTTGTCATTTTAAAGCCTCTTGAAGTGGCATGTATTCTACTAGAAAACTAAGTTATTCCATTTGCAGATGTGACTTTTAATGAATATTGTAGTGTAATATTAATATAGTAGAAGCTCTTGAATTCTGATAAAGTACTTAATTGAGGTTTACACTGGACTGTGAATCACAAGGTCGGCAGAAACCAACTCCACAGCACTTAACAACAACAACAAATCTTTTGTCAATTGATTGAGTTCTGGAGAGCCTGCCACATGATACCTTTAGTAGAGCTGCTGTTGTACAGCTAGTATGTTCTTCCATGTTGAAAATACTCTTTGGATTCTGAAAGAACAGGCTCTTGTGTCTTTCTTGTGATTTAAGCAGCTGATTAGCCACATGACTTCTCATCCATAGATTAATAAAGTGTCCTGTTAGTCTGTTTCCTTCTTCAACTTTGGAGACTTTGTTCAAGTTAGTGAGGACTGGAGAGTGAGTTGTATTTTTCCTACTGAGGATATTATTGAAGTGGAAGCCTACATCACCATTGTGTTATAATTTATTTTGTTTTACCTTAGTTTTTCTTGTTAAGGACCTGCGAGTCAGTTCTGACTTATGGTGACCCTGTGTAGATAGGGTTTCTGAGGAGTGGCTGGTGAGTTTGAATCTCCAACTTTGCAGTTCAAACCAACCTTGTGGTGGAGTGCTTATCCTACAGTGCCACACCAGTCTGATAATGTGTAACAGTGTTTGGAGTCAGAGGAGAGGAATGATGGACAGGCACTGTTTCATTCATTCTTCCAATGTTTTGAATGGCTACCATGCATCAGGCATGATTCTTACCCTTAATGAATTTTAAAATGGTGTGTGATCTGGCTAGGAATTCTCTTTTGGGGTTTGCCCATGTTGTTGTTAATTGCTGTTGAGTCGGTTCCGACCCATAGCGACCCTGTACAGGGTTTCCGAGGCTGTAAATCTTTACGGGAGCAGAACGCCTCATCTTTGTCCCTGCGGAGCGGCCCGATTCGTAACCACTACGCTACCAGAAGCTCCTTGGGATTTGCCCATAGAACTTGGCTTTTGTAAAGAGTTGTTTCTCATTACAGCAAGTGGAATCAGTATTAGTCCAAGCAGTCTTATGTTCTGGCTAAATTGAATACTTTATTAATTTTAACAACAGTGTTTACATGGTGTGCTTTTGAAAAGCGTGTAAGAAGACACTATTATAGTTTCTCATTGATCATGTCATTTGAAGAGTAACCTTCAACGCTCTCAATTTGCTGCTAGTGGAATTTTTTATTCACTCAAGAAGGAATCCGTGTCATTGCCACTCCATTGCACTGTGAATGTTAGCTTTTGCAGTATTCTTTGAACAAATGCACTTTTGGCATGCTGGATATTTTTTTCTTTAGCTGACACAGAAAGTTTAATGCAGCCTACTGATCACAGTACTGATAATATCCTAGGTAGAGAAAGCACTGTGCCATCCCATCTCTAATAATTGCATTGTCTCTCCTTAAAAGATTTGGATTTTGCATTTGTGGTATAGCTGAATGCTTGGCTCAACAAACGGAAAGGTGGATTTTAGGAAAAGACACTCTGAAATATGGTATTATTAGGCTGTTCATGTAATTAAGAGCAACCACTTGGTCAGTTTTCCTCAACTGTTGACTAAGCCCCCAAGTCCCATAATCAAAGAACATTGCTTTGTAGCAAAGTGTGGCTTTAAATCACATTCTTTACCCCACCTTCAAGTGAAGAAAAAAGTTTAAATCATTTGACTAATTTTAATAACTCTTCAAAGAGATCTGTAATTATTGCCATTATTAACGTTTTCTGCATTTACTGGCATTAGCCTTTCTCTGCAAAGATGTATCAAATCCAGACCAGTCATTTGTGACAGTAGTCTCATGTACTTTTACTTTCTGGGATTTGACATAAATATTTGATCATTATTTCTATGACAAACTGTCCAGTTTGCTATCCGTGTAATTCAACAAATTTGACTAAATAGATTTGGCCAGGTATTGGACTGGGCATAGACAGTGTTTTTGAGAGACGTTAGAAGGAAGTGTCCTCCTGAATAAGGCGAGGCAATAGGTTCTCTTGGTACTGATGTCATCTGAAGGGGACTGAGCTCTAAAAATTAAGTACTCTCCCCATTCCTCAATTATGTAGTTATCAGTATTCTGCTGACTCTTATCTTTCATATAAGGCTACCATTGTGTCCGCAGGAATCGATTCTTAGTGTTATTCATTAATGCAATCTAATAGATCTCTGTGCCTATCTGTCTGCCCTTTGCTGCAGAAACATTTTGCAATGTGTTGATCTCTTCAGTTATTTGCTCTCATATCTTCCCTCTATGCTCTACTTTTTCCTTCACATATGCACATTAAAAACAAAAACTCACTTGCATTTACATTTTAAAATTTCATAATGGAGGTTGTGGTCAGTGTGATTTGTGAATCAAAGGTAAAAGTGATGTGGTGGATGAAATTAGAACAGGTTTTTTAGCAGTGTCTCTGACTAGTTTCAATTTTAGTACTCAGGCTGTGATTTCAAAAACAATGTAAGAATAGCTACTTGCAAAATGTCTCCGTGGGTGATGAAGAAAGCTTGGGAGTTAGTTCCAGGGGTGGCATACAGTATTGAGCTTGTTGATTTGCCTGAAGATGCAGTAGTTCATGAAGGAGGTCCGAGAACCTCACCTGGAACTCTGTTTTGGTGATGTCATCACTGTTTTGGAGATTTGTATGCCTGGTTTTGTTGTGCCACGGGACAGAGCACATCTGAGGAAGTCTCATAGGGTAGTATTGGCGATAATGCAACTTCGCTGGGTTGTGTCACGGCTGCCAGATACCATGAAGGGTGTTCTCTCCTGTCCCCCACCCTTTCAAGCTGTGGTTTTCTTGCTTCTGACTACTGCCTTACCTGGAGTTATCCAGTTCAGTTAAGGAGTCCTTTAAAAATTACCTTGTGAAGTAAATTGTTATACTGCTCTCTTTCAGTCTTTTTGTGTATGTCTAAAAAATGACCCCATTTAAATTTTTTGATTTGAGTTATTTGAGACTACCTAATGGTGTGGTGCTGTGGGTTAATGCACCAGACTGCAAAGCTGTTTGAACTGCAAGGTTGGCGGTTTAAGCTCACCAGCTGCTCGTTGGAAACCCTGTACAGGGTTGCTATGGGTCAGAACTGATTCAATGGCACTGAACAACAACTGTGGTGCTGCAGGATAATGTGCTGGACTGTGAGGTCAGTTTGAACTGTAAGGTCAGAGGTTCAAACCCACCAGCCGCTCTTCGGAAACTCTATTGTTATGGGTTGAAACCCACTCTATGGCACTTAACAACAACAATGACAAAGCTACTGTGGACTAACCTTAAAAGTTTTATTTTAACATAGACTTAATAAGAAACAGTTTCTTACACATGCTGTTTAGTTAGTCTGCCAACAATTCTCGGTGCACTTACAGATCTTGGGATCCCTTGAAATAATTGGGTCATCAGGACAGCACACAGGTTGAGAACCACTCTGAAATCCTCTGACTTGTGTCATTTTGGTTGCTAGTTGTTCAGGAGATTTAACATTTTGTAGCACCCTTCCTACACAGCATTTTCCTTTAGATGCAAAATGTTTCTGTAGTGTTTGTAGTTAATGTATGATTTCATCACAGTTCTGTAGGCTTAAAGGGTAGAAGTTTTATTTCTGCTTGAGAAATATGAGACCAAATGATCAGGTAGTCCAGCAAGAAAGCTGTTGTATCTGTTGTAGCCCATCTCAGTGTTGTTTCTGATGTACTTGCCTTTTCTGTTAAATTAAGGACAAAAATTAATGGAAAAGTGGAATGAAAAGGCAATGCATATGACTACTCTAGAACCCTTAGAACTGCATGCTGCAGGGATAATGTGCTGGACTGTGAGGTCAGTTTGAACTGCAAAAAATGTT